GTGGCCTTCGTGATAGACCCTATGGGGGGAGATTGAGAGACCTGAATCTCTTCAGCCTTCACAAGAGACGGCTGAGGGGAGATCTTGTGGCCGCCTATAAATTTATTAGGGGAGGTCAACGGGGAATAGGGGAAGCGCTGTTTACTAAGGCACCCCAGGGAGTGACTAGGAATAACGGGTGTAAACTAGTTGAGAGTGGATTTAGGTTAGATATTAGGAAGAAATTTTTCACAGTAAGGGTGGCCAGGATCTGGAATGGGCTTCCAAGAGGTGCTATCACCTAGCTTGGAGGTCTTCAAGAGGAGGCTAGATAGTCACCTGGCTGGGGTCATCTGACCTCGGTCCTCTTTCCTGCCAGGGGCAGAGGGTTGTAAATGATGATCCATTGTGGTCCCTTCCAACTCTACAATCTATGAACTCCTCTGACATCAGAACCAATCAACTTGGAACTTTGGGTGGGTGACAATGCCCATTAGCCCACCCTCAAACTAACCAACCCACATACACAAAAATGGAAAAATGCTTCCAGTTTAGAAAGCAACCTGCCTGGAGAAACCCCCCATGGTTGCCGATGCCACAATGTTGCGTAGTAAGTTTACTGTATGGACATATTCATGCACTGCAGGAATATAACATTTTCTATTCCTTTTTTTTTGTGCAGTTAAATAGAATTTTTTTAATGAATTAATTTACACCATTTAGGAACATTCTATAAAACTACTATCTGGGTACATCTACATGAGACATTTACTATGGAGTAGACTAATTAGCTCTGCAGTAAATGTTGCACATGTGCCCCTATTAGGCTGCAGTAAACAAACTGATTCATGGTTTATATTTTGTATTAATATACTGAGCACCAAAATAAGCACAATTAAAGTGCTTTAAAAAAAACAAACAAACCAACAATAAAAATACTGTGTGTTTGGTGAAATAGAATACTTATTATTCTGAAAACCTAAACATTTTGAATATTCATGCTTATATTTACAAACTTAAGGTCATTTAATACTGTATTTCTAAATTCAGAACCACATGTTTAAGTTATTTATAAAACTATTCAAACACATTCATATAGCAAATGTAGTTCCATGGCAAGTCACAGAAGTGAGTGATACACCACAAATACTACCACAGATGCAAGCCATGCTCCCAACAAAACACTCATACAGTGAGTCAAGTTACTCATATGCATTAATGTTTGCAGGATCAGGAGCTTAGTGACTACTATGTTTGTACTACTTACATAGGTGGAAAGTAAAGCCTATTTCCTTCATGGAATTCCTTATTTGTAGGAACATTCTGCATTCTGTTGGGGTACTTAGGTTTTATAGCAGGAAGCTTTACCTGTGTTAGAGAGAGATTAATTTAATGCAAATAGTTATGGTTAAAAATATATATAATTGGGGGATATCACAGGATTACTTTTGTGGCCTTGGATGTCTTCAGTATCTGCATTCTCCAAGGCACCAACAGTAATTATAGGGAAGTACAGGGAGTACTGACATTTATGAAAAAACATTATTTCTTTTTACTTTCATATCTTTGGGTATATTAACAATTTTTTCAGTATGACACCTCTACAAAATGTGCTGCGCCCTGGGCAACTGGTGCCTCCCGAGTCTGGGGAGGGAGACGGGTCCCCCAGTGGCCAGCCAGCGACTGGGGGAGGAGGGATGGTCCCCCATGCCCTCCCTACGTGTCACCCATGCGCTGAGCTATAAACACTACTGACACCACAGGAGCTGTAGTGGATTTCAAAACTAAGCTGCAAAATTCAATTTTAGCAGTTAGAGTCAAATGATAGCTCAGTATATCACATGGAAGTGATAAGACAATCTCAGGTAAAATCCTGAAATAAAAAGCAAAGAACCACATCCAAAAAGGGCATCTGGGTGCCTAGCTGCTATTTAGGTGCCTGTAGTTTTCCTCCCCACGTTACTTGGCAGGAAGGCAGCAGAGTTACAGGGCTACAGAGCCCTAGGCTGCAGACCCCCAGGCTACAGACCCCCATCAGATAAGCTGATTAGCTGACTGCAGGCAGCAGAACTTAGAGGGCTGATGAGGTAATTAACAACCCCAGCACCGAATTAAGGGAAGGCAGCTGCCTGGAAGGGGGAGAGCCAGACTGGAGATAGCCACAGAGCTCCAGGGCTAGAATTGGAACTTCTGGCCCTGATCCCTGGAGAGGAATGAGTTCTGCAGAAAGGCCCATGTGCAACCAAGTGGTTTTTGCATTGTGTTGGTTTTTTTAGGTTACTGTTTAAGGCCAGGAGGAATGGAATTGGTTGAAGGGGTGGAAGGAGGCCATTAGATTCGGGGAGGCACCATAGTTTTGTCTGCCAGACTGCCAAGACCTGCGTGCTGTGAGCAAGTGCTGGAGAGCTCAGTGTACTCAACTGAGGCAGAAAGAGGGAATCGCCTGAGGAAGTCGCTCTGGTGGATTAAGAGCCACCTCCCAAACATCCATTACATCAAGGAGTGGCAGGCAATATAGCAGGCCAGAACCCTGAGAAGCCAGAGTGAGAGTTGGGATCAGTGAGGCACCAGTACTGCCTTGGGCACCTGGAGTCTCATTATAGTACCTAAACTCCTACTGAAATGACCTAAATACCTATTGGGAATCTGTCCTAAAGATCCCAAAGATTTCAATACAGAGAGATAGTAAACCTGAGCCGTGTGATTCTAGTCATGCGCAGGGTGGTACCTTACAGACGAAATGGTTCAGTGAGACATAAGCTTTTGTAGGAAACAGCCTACTCCATCAGATGGTAGGTTTTCAGTATTCCTTAGTGTCTGATAAAGTAGGTTTTCAGCTATGAAATTTTGTGCCTCTTTGAACCAATTAGCATATTTTTTCGCATATGAACAACACCTTTTTCTCCAAAACCAGCTGGGGAAAATGATAGTGTGCATTATATGCAAGGAAAAGGCCTCTCCATGGGTCTGAAAATTTGGCGGGGTGGGGGGGAGGGGAGTGTACAGCAGTGGTAGTGTTAACTGCTGTGGCTCCAGGAGCTATGGTAATTAACACTGCCTTCTGCTCCCTCCTTCCCTTGCCCATCACCTAATTTCCAGACCCCTCCTCCCCAACCACATGCCAGACTGGGCTGGCGTGTGGGGCTGGCCCACGACTAGACCTGGTTCACCAGGTCAGTCCCAGCACATGGCCTCAGACCCAGCGTGCGAGTCCAACCCCATGTGCTGCCTCCAGAGCTATGTACTGGGTTGGACTCAGCACACTGAATGTAGGATCAGGCATTGGCTTCAAGTGCTGGCACAGCCGAGTCGCAATGGCATGCAGCACCTAACACCACTGTTATATTAATACAAACATTTGAAGACTGAATGATCAAAAAGTGAAACATTGCTAGATAAATTAACTGTACGTTATTTGGCATAAAGGTACATAGTATTAAAGTGCATCCATTTCTTGCAATAGAAATATTTATATTGAATGAACAAAATTGTAAAGTTATAGTAAGTATAAGAAATGGCAACTGGATTGAAACCACTAAAATACAATTTATTTCTATATAGTAGCATTGATAACAAAATACCACTGATGCAGTTCTAAAATAAATGCATCTTATTCTGACAAATGCAAGTAAATTTACGGATATTTTAGAGAATATTTGCAGATGTGGAATGGGAGTTACGAAGACTGCAATAACATTTTTTAAAGGTTAAGTACAGACTCCTGAAAAGGACATAAAACCAATAAGGGAAAGAAGCATAAAGTCCTAATGACTTCAGCAGTGATAGCCTTTCACCCAGGATCAAGAAATCAAGGGTCTGGTAATGAGTAAAGACATGTGCTATTACATTACAGAAAAAATAAAAACCACAGATAGAAGAGCTGAGGCTGAGGAAGATGATTTTAGATTTTTTTTTAATAATAAAAAACTGCATGAACAATGGTCTGTCATAACAGTGTATAACAAAAACCTTGGGCACCTTAACAAACCCAGAAGCATAAAAAAAACCCCCAAAACATACAAACAAACAAAAAAAACCCCTTTTAGCTACATAGAACTGCTCTCTTACTCCGTGAAGCATTAAAAACAATTGACACTTAGTTTTTCTAATTAATTTGCCTATGTGTTATATTGCAATGCATGTTGCATGATTCCACAACCAGCGTTATACTTCAGAAATATGAGCTTTCAGATGCAAAGTATCTTGTAACTTCCAAAAACTACCATTTCATGTTTTTACTGTTTCAGGTTATAATCAAGGTTCAGAACTATTCAGAGATGATTGATACATTTTGATAATAATAATATGTTTTATATATTAACATTATACTGAGCAGAGTGATGCTTGGTACACAAAGCACCACAGAAACATGGCTTTAATTTGATCTTGCATACTATTAGGCCCCATGCAGATGCAGACATTATACTTAAGACACAATTAAACAGTTAAACATGTCTTAAAGATTAAGTTGGCCACATGTTCAGGGGATATATGGTGCAATAAAACAGGAAACCAGCTACAAGGTTATTACACAAAATATGTGCAATAATTTTGCAGCTGGTTTCTATTGCATCTTAAACTGAAAGTGTGGCAGGGACCATTCCAGGGCTTAAGCTCCAGAGCAGTCCCAATCAACTGATCATCAGCTGGCAGGGATAGCCCTGGGGCTCATACCCTGGGGTGGTCCCTTCCAGCCGAGTGCATATCAGAACGGCCCAGATCCTGCTGACAATCAGCTGATCAGGACCATTCTGAGGCTCAAGCCCCAGGGTAGTCCAATCAGCAGATCATGGGCAGATCAGGACTTCCCCAGGAGTTGAGCCCCAGGACAGTCTCAATTTGCCCATGATCACCTGGCTTGCTCCTGGGGACATACAGGGGCTTGAACAGCCCTAGAGGTCCCCAGAACCAGCCAATGATCAGTTAACTCTCATGCCAGGCATGGCATGGCAGGAAGCATGATTGTTGAGATCTAGGATCAAATCACATCGTGTCTTTAATTGAATGTTTGTCAGGGGCCTTGGTAGCAGTAGGAAAGAGATGAGAATCTGTTTTGACAATGAGAATATGCTGGAATATAACATGGAAAAGGAAAAGGAAGTCTAAGTAAATACAAAAGTAGAACAGGAAGACCTAGAATGCAGAGGTGAGTAAAAGATTATCAAAGATTGTCATGTAAATAAATTAAAAAAAACAACCACCATTCTGCAGATGAAGGCCAAGAAGCCATAGAATCTCTAAGATGTAACCACCAAATAGTAATAAAACCAGCAGATAAAGGAGGAGCCATAGTCATCCTAAACCGTGAAGATTACATAA